ATTCACACGTGCGGTCAAGGATATGTACGACGGGGCAAGAACTTGGGTAAAGACCATCGGGGACGACTCAGAACCGTTTTCTGTAGGGGTGGGGTTGCACCAGGGGTCCGCTCTTAGACTTTCTTGTTCGTCTTGGGGATGGGCGTCCTAATGCGGGGAGTCCAAGAAGAAATATCATGGTGCATGCTTTTTGGGATGATATTGTGCTTACCGATAATACACGCGAGGGCCTAAACAATAAGTTAGAACTTTGGTGCCTTTCCCTGGGGACCAAAGGGTTCAGACTCAGTAGGAGTAAGACCAGGACTGAATACGTGGAATGTTGATTTAGTGGTTGGGAGACGGGGATAAGGGTGGAAGTGAGGATTGACTCTCATTTAGTGCCCAAGGTTGACATGTTTGGGTATCTTGGCTTGGTAATTTAGACAGATGGGGAGTTAGACGGGGATGTTGTGCATTGTGTTGGAGCAGCTTGGGCTGTGGAGGTTGGCTTCAGGAGTGTTGTGCGATAAGAAGATTTTGCCTAGAATGAAAGGCATGTTCTACAGGGAGCAATGCTCTATAGGGCAGAGTTAAGAATCACGTGCAGTGTCTGCATGCGATAGAGATGCGGATGATGCGGTAGATGTGTGGCCAGATGATGCAGTAGATGAGTTGGAGGACGAGACTGGATAGGATTCCGAACAAAGTTCTTCGAGGTCGGTTAGGCATGGCTTCAAGGGAAGATAAATTCGGGAAGCAAGGTTGAGGTGGTTCGGTCATGTGAGACGACGGAATGCTGACGCTCCTATGCGGAGATGCGAGACGCTTACGTTGGTACGAGGATGTCAGGGAAGGGGTAGACCAAGAAAGAGTTGGAAGGAGATGATAAGACACAACTTAGGACTTCTTGCTCTTACTCAGGATATGGACTCAGATAAGAACATTTAGAGAGATAGGATTAGAGTAGCTGGATAGGTGCCTTGCGTTTGGGGGTGTTGTTGTGTGCTTTGTAGGCCTTTTATGCTTCGTGCTTTTTTCTATTTGCTTGCAACACTCTCGTTTCGTAATTCGTAACTTTATTTAAGATAGTGTAGTTCTAATTCTGTGTGCTTGGTGCTTTATTGCGTTGTAGTTGTGCTTTCCTTGTTTTGAGTATCTATTCTGATCTTTTTATATGCACCTTGAGCCAGGGGTCTCATGGAAACAGCCTCTCTACTTTTGGGAAGGGGCAAGGTATGCGTACACACGCCCTTCCTAGACCCCACTCTCGTGGGATCCAACTTGGTTGTTGTTGTTTGTTGGCAAGGGTTGGCAAACTTTCATTGATGGTAACCTAAGTCGTAACAAGATCATGTTGATGCAATGACTTGGTAACGAGGGTGCAAGGTTGGTTGCTGGGTGACTTAAGATAAAACAGCTTGATAAGGCACAAAAGTGGCTAGCAAGGCTTTGAAAATAAAGGCATGTCCAGTTGGCCTTGGCTTGACACTGGCCCCCGGAGAGCACAATCTCGTCCCTGGCTTTTGGAACGGCACGAAATGGTCTCGAGGATGGAAGAATACTTTTGGTGCTCATTCTACGCGGACAAAGGACTAATAGGGGGGTGGAAAGACTCGCAACGGAGGTGAGATAATAGGGCTATCAGTTGGTTGGGTGAAATCTGAAGTTGACTCGAGGTTGCACAGAGGTGGCCCATGGCAGTGTGGCATGGCATGGTGCACGACTCAAGCAACGAAGGTATATTAAAGTTGGCGAGTCAAATGTATCCCTTTGCCTCTAAAAAGAGGGTAGTGATAACGTGATGGCCCACGAGGCTGTTTTTAAGTCAAACGAGAATAACACCCCAAAGCCAGCACCATACGGAGCCCCATTAGTGGACCACAAGAATCTTGGCGAGGCTCGTGGAAGGGAACCCATGGGTCAAAGTGGAGGCTTGTGCAAGTAAATCCTTGTTGGATTGATAATGAAGAGTCTAAAGGCCCAAGAGAGAAAAATAGATTTGGGTTCGATTAGAGAATATTGGAATGATAACTTGATATCTTCAATTCCCCGGCCCCGGGTCCCTATTTGTCAATAATGGCCAAAAGATGCCAATATCACATGTCTCAACGGTGATACATATGGTGGGTGAGTTGAGATCGCAATGAAGGATATAACCCTATACATGGAACACATTTTAAAAATACGGAAACAAAAGCATTAATAACAGATCATCCCATGTGACCAGCAAGAGACATCTGGTGCCTATACTACCACCTACCTAAGGATATTAATTGACAAGAATTTATTTGTTAGTCATGACTCATGACAACAATTTTTAAATCACGGTTTGTTTTCTCTTAGTCAACAATTTCTCCATGAACTTATTACACTCTGTCCTTTTCAAATTATTGCCATAAAATTCGGACAGGCCTACAAAGATGCAATCCTTCCAAAAAGATCTAGAAACTTACAGGTGTTCCAGAAGTTCCAGTGACTTCAGTTCCAGTCATGAAGAATTCAGTTACAGTTATTACAATGATATAGAAAGCTCTAGTTTCCTATATCACGAAAGTTCCAGCCCATGCGAAAAGAACATGGCCTTAGACTTCAAACTTGGGCGATCAAAGGTCCATCCAACAATAACCTACCCAATGTATTCCAACAACCTAACCAGTATGTTCCCATCCGAGCAAATTAAATTCATCAACATGACTAGCATAAGTATGACAACAACAACCCAGTTGGATCCCACGAGAGTAGAGTATAAGGAGGGTGTATATACTCAGAGTCGCAGACCTTGCCCTTACTCAAAAGTAGAGAGGCAACATAAGTATGACTACTTTTTAGTTATTTATAGAACTTACTGTATATTATAGTCCAGTCCAAAAAAAATGATTTTCAAACATTTAAAACCCAGTAGGAACCCACTAAAGTAGGGTTTGGGGAGGGTACAACCCCTACTTAAAATTAAAGAGGCTGTCTCCAGGAGACCCCAGCTCGAGCAACACAGAAAGCACATAGCACGATAAATAACAAAGAGCAAACTAAAGGTAAGAAAAGTGCAAGGAGACAAAGGCACTCAAATAGTTGCAACTTGCAATCAACAAAACCCCAAGCCCATAAAAAAACACGACAGGAGCAAGAACTACGACTCAAGACCAAACAAATAACCAAAACCCTAGTCCCCTGTCTAATGTCATATCATGGGAAAGGGCCAAAAGTACTAAATCATGTCTAATCACCTCCTTCCAAGGCCTACCCCTTCCCCCACCCCCACCAACTCTCGCAAGCCACTCGCATTTCCACACTAGGGTGGCAACTATACGCTGCTTCACGTGACCACTGACTAAACCATCTCAACCTAGCCTCTCGTAGCTCATCCTCCACAAATGTGACTCCAACTTGTCTCCGGATAACCTCATTCCAAATCCTATCCAACCTTGTCAGCCGACACATCCATCGCAGCATCCGTATCTCTGCCGAATGTTGTTGACGAACATGAGCTTTCTTAACCTCCCAACACTGTGCTCCATAAAGCATAGTAGGTCGAACTACCGACGGATAGAACTTACCTTTCATCCTTGCTAAAATCTTCTTATCGCACAGAACCCTGAATCCTTCCATAACACAAATAGTTTTTCTCCAAACATTTGTCTCAAAAAATAGTCCCACGTAACAATAGCCAAATACATGATATTTTTTGTTACAATACCAAAAAACAAATCTATATACTCCCTCCATCCTATAATTTTCTTCCTGTTTGCTTTTTCACGGTCTCCTGTGCACTACTTTGATCATTAATATATCTATTTATATATAATTTTATACTATAAAAATGATATTTTTAAACTTTATTTCAAAAAGAATCTATTGATATTAAGTTCATTTCATCTTTTGACCAAGAAAAAGCAAACATGAAGATAATTTTAGGATGGAGGGAGTATATAAGTATAATTCATAAGAGTATACAATAGTTGTACAACATTAAGGGTCTGTTCTTTTCGGTTGGAATTCTTAAGTTGGATGTTGGAAGAAATTGGAAGGTGTTGGAAGAAACTGGAAGGAGTTGGAAAATGTTGAAAATATGAAAAGTGAAAAAAAGTCACTCAATTAATTGATCACCCAAATAAATATGTAAGAAAACTAAATTTGGATTGAAAAGAATTCATCGTTGTTCGTGTTTGAGGTGGTAAAATATAAATTTGGATATATGATGTTATTGTAAATTACTCTCATGTAAATAAGTTCTTTAAGCCATTGTTAGAAGAAACTGGAAAGAGCTGGAAAAAGCTAGAAGGAGTTAGAAAACATTAAAAGGGGTTGGAAGAAACTAGGAGTTGGAGAACATTGGAAGTTAACTTTTCCAAATCAAAAGAACAAGCCCTAAAATTTTAAAAGTTGTGCATCGAGTAATTAATCAAACATGACTGTTTTTTTGGATGGGGGTAGTATAACATTAATACTATGTCAGGTACAAGGAAATTGGAAGGAAAAGAAAAGAAAACAATTTTCTCTTGTTTGATTTTTCATCCACTTAGTAAATTTTGCGTTCTCATTTTCTTTTCCTTCCATTTTCCTTTTTTTCCTCTCTAACCAAACAAGAAAAAATGCTTTCCACTTCATTTTCTTTTCTTTTCCCTTTCAAATTCCTTGAACCAAACAAGGTGTAAATATCATAAAACCAAAACCTGTAAACTAGCCCCAACAGTGATCGGGCCTTCAGTAAATACTAGTGGTTTTATAATTCCACAAAAGATCACTAAAACTTGAGCCAATTTGGCCAATCCACATGAAAGTGAGATGACCAATTATGTGTATCTATGAGCTTTAAGAACAAGCAGTCCCCTCTTGACAAGTCACAAAAACCATTGAACATTTAATGCAATATACTCGTATTAAACTTAAGACGAAGCAAACTTGAATTCATGAGAAAAATTTATACTGTTTGGACAGATTAGATAAGGAACATCGTTAAATATAGCTTGAATCAAATCAGACAAGATTAGACCTTAATAAAATCAAATGCTCTAAGTTACCTTTCTGCCAAGCACTTAGTTATATTGTATGTGTCATCCGATGTATCTGTGCCCCTGATAATCTCCACCAGTTTCATAATTGGTGGAGGATTCATAAAATGCATGCCAATCACCTGCATATCAAATGTAACCACTAAAGAGGCAAGTTTTTAACTATAGAAACTATGTATCTATCAAACAAAGGACGGGCTGCGAGGACTGAGGAGTATATCATGATTAACATTAAAACTGAACTCTTTGCTGGATATTGTTTACAGGAATGGTACAAAAATTATACTGCATGATAAAATAGTCTTTACCTATTGATCTTCAAATGTTAGGATGAAAGGCATACAATAGCCTGTGTTAACTCGAATTAGCCAATTAACCCATGTAGTTCAAAAATTTGCAGTATAAACCTCATGATAAGAAATAATGAACAAAAACAATTGCACCTGGTTGTTATACTCCACACACACAAACAATTACGGAGTATATTATAAATTATACATCCTGATGTATGCACATCCATGGCACTTTTGTAATTTATTGGACAAAATGTTCATTATAACACTCAATAATGCTTATCTAATTTAGCCTTTTTGTTTTGTGTTTTTATTTTCAGATATGAGGATATAGGAGACATAGTAGGAGTGGCCCTTGTGGCAGACAAGAAGTGAGAAGCGAGATTGAGATGGTAAGGACTCGTGAAGAGGAGAAACGTGGGTGCCCCATTCAGGAGATGTGAGAGACTAGATGAAGTAGGTGTGCAATGAAGTAGATCAAAGAAGAATTTTGAAGAGGTTATGAGGAATGAGATCAGATCAGATCAGAGATCGGATCAGAAATGGCTTTAAATATAATTACATTTAGATCAAATCAGATCAGATCTTAATCGAATCAAATACAAATATAAAAAAAATTGAACCAAATACGAATTTGATTACGAATACCTATCTAAAAATCCGGATATGAATAATAATGGTTATTATTTGATTTGTTTACAACCTTAATGGGACAACGATATCTTGCCAAGGGGGTGACATTAGAATATTAGATAGAAAGCTTTTGAGGTCAAAGATTAGGATAGATAGATATGGGTAGCCTTTTTTACTTGTAATTATGGTTTTGCTTTTTTCTGCTCTTTATGTGATCTTTACTATTTCCCTTCCTCTTGGTTGTAACATTTTCCATACTTGTTTCCTATTATTTGCTATCAATCTACTTGTGTTTTGTTGCTCTTGAGCTCAGTGTCTTTCTTGAAGCAACCTTTCTACCTTCTTGGGGTAGGGATAAGGTTTGCATACATTCTACCCTCTCCGAATCCACTTGTAAGATTTCACTTGGCATTGTTGTTGTGTCTTTTGTTTTTAATTCTACTCACTTTTTGTTGTGACGTGTGAGGAATGCTCATTTTGCTTCTAAAGAATGCTCATATTCATATGTAAGATAAAGAATGCTAAAGGTACATCGGGTGACATGGATATATAATATGCATACTCTACAAAGTGTGAATATGATTTTTTTCCTTTGTGAAATTACTTTTTTGTCCTTATGTAGAATATGAGTTACTCCGTAATAGCTGGAAAACACCCATGGCATAGGTAATTAACTAGAAATGACCATGTCATTTTAAAATTAGCACAAATAGATCTTATGTAATTAGAAGGTTGCAAACTGCCCCTTGATGTTTCGTTTGAAGGGTGAGGTGTTTAGACCAGATTCCCTCTCTAAGCTCTGTTCTCTTTGCCTCATCTAATTGGTTCCTATTTCAATTTTTTAAGGTCTGATGGTCTAATTGTAATGTAATTTAAATCTTTTGTTCATCTAGTCTGTAGACAGAATACGAAGATTCTCCAGGGACTCCTATCAAGCTATCAGTCCAAAAGGGAATTCGGCAACCTAACCTACTCCCTGATGGGATCTCTCTCTCCCTCTTTTTATAGCCAAAGGAACAAACTTTATTCTATCCTGTAGCCAGTCGGTAGGAATTCGTTTCAATAATGAGTGTAACTATTACTGCAGAGCATTCATAAGGGTGCATTCCGCAAGAAAACGGATGTGCGGCTGATGCGCTAGCTATGCCGTTTCTTGTTCTTCGAGGAACGAAGTATCTGAATGAGTTAAACTATGTGAAACGGATCTCTAGCTTGCGCAAAGGTACAGAGATTCGTTTCACATAGTGAAACTCATTTAGTCGCTCGGAGAGGGGCTAACGCTAGTTGACCTGTCAAGTCATTTAGTCGCTTAGTTTCACATAGTGAAATGCTCCCCTGCACATAGTTTCACAATTTTGATTAATTTCTTGTGATAATATTAACTTTATAAATGGAATTTAGTTCATTATATTAATTATCCAAAAAATTGACATAATCAATCTTACACTCCCACTATCCTAGATTAAGGTTATACATTTCACCGGCACGATTCTCAAGAAGGGTAAAATTGAGTAGTTGAAAGTTATGCATAGGAAGAGAAATGACGTAAATCATATAATCATTTGTTTAAAAGGGAAGTGGAACCTTATTTTGGGACAAACAAAATGGAAATGTGGAACCTTTTTTTGAGACAAAGGGGGTAATATATAGGAAACAAAAAATAATTTAGCCAAACTTCTCAAACACCATAATTATGCATAGAGATAGGCCAAATTAGAGATATTGTAAATTGTGCACTTCACATCTACAGCCTACCTGTCTTGGTCGGCTAGTTGCTGATGCCAAACGAGTTATGGAAATAGAGCTAGTGTTAGAAGCCAAGATTGCAGAGCTCTTTACAATCTTGTCTAAATCCACAAACATCTTTTTCTTTACATCCTCAGATTCAACAATAGCCTCAATAACTATATCCACAGATTGCAAACCTTCCAAATCTTGTGAGCCTTTTAGACGTTTGATAGCATCCTCACCTCTTTCCTAATTTAAGGTTTGCAATGGTTTAAGGCATTTGAAGAAAGAAAATTTCACTAACATTATAAACAAATAACAATAACAAAGAGGATTCAAAAAGATGAAAAAGATTGGAACTTTTTACTATAAATTTTTTTTGCATATTATACCGTATATCCATATGTACTTACTTTCTTCTAAGTCAAATGAGCATTGTGTAACTTGTAAATATACATACAAGATATTCATAATGTACGCACTCTGAGTATGTACAAAAAAATTAAACACACATTTTTGGAAAGTGTACAACTAAATTTGGAAGGAGGCCGCACATTGCTTTCACTGATATTTTCACTTAAAATCTATATTTTTTTTCATATTTCTAATATTAGTTAATAATTTACATATTTATTTTAATATTAATAATATTTTAATAAAGAATTTTGTTTTCTAATGTGCGTACATATATTTTATAATGGGCATATTTCATAAAATAAACATATGAAATAAGTATTGTGTTTCTCATAAATGTGTATGTTGGATGCATGTTCTTGTATTAAGTTATGAGCATTATGTAATAATTATCAAATGTACATATATACTCTGGGTATACTTTATAATGTGTATGTTTTATGTTAAAAAATTAATGTGGGAAATGAGTATTTTCTTAATTGTAAGTATGCATACATCTGATGTATGCAAACATGGTACATCAAGATTAACTATTTACGGACTCAAAAATCTTCAGGGCACCGGGAATAGGAATTCATAGTAATTGACTTTTAATTTTATTATTCAGGGTAGGTAAGAGAATTAAAAAAAAAACTGTTAGAACGGCTTCCGCTTGTTACTTTGTATAAATTGCGCGTCTCTCTACTGCAATACACATAATTTGATCTATCTGACTCTATATCACTCTAAATACTAGGAATTGCACTAGAAAACCATTGTAAAATATCTTAAAGCTCACCTGACAGAGCTGACCTTTTGAGACGAGGCGTTGTATGTTACTGGAGATGGATTTATGGGCTCGTTTGAGAGCTTCGAAGTCGGCATCGTATAGGTATACGTCAACGCCGTGCACGGCAGCGAGTTGGGCGATTCCGGCGCCCATTTGGCCTGCGCCCACAACTCCGATGCTGCTGATCCCAGCCATAGTCTAGAAATGAGTTTTACCAAATGAGTTTTACCGTATCTCAAAATAGTACCTCCCTCAAATAATAAATTTCTAAGTAACCATTATCATGATAACTTATTTGCATATTTTTATTAATAATTTGATTAGATTATCATCTTGATTTGTAAAATTTTAGATGCAATTTTGAATAATATAATTTGTATTTTTTATGATTTACTCCGTACCAATTTGTAAAAAGGGAAAAGTAGCAAATTACAAGTAAAGCATATCTAATATCCCAGAATAAAAGTAGAAATTTAAACTCTCCTAAACATGAGTAATTAACTTTGCTAATCTAATTTTCTCACACACTCCCCCTTCCTGTCCATCTTTCCCTCATCATACGTACAAGACATAATATCATTGTTCCATCTCCCTTCTATGTGCTCCATTGTATAAAATTATTGTATTGATTTTTCGACGCCTCTACCGCTATCTTCGCCACCTCCTTCACCCCATGCCACTACTGCCATCGCCCAATGCTGCCTCCATTAATTTCCTTGAATTGCCGCCTCCATTGATGGCCGTCGCGATTGCCGCCATTGTCACCCCTTGCCACTTCTGCTGTAACACCCCCGCCCCCACCCTGGCCGTAAGTGTTCACTCATAGGATTGTAGACTGGCCCCACAAACCAACACAAGTCTTTCCCGCGCACTTTATCCTCACTTGTGAGGGCCTAAGGAATTTCCTAGGGGGTCACCCATCCTAAAATTGCTCCAGGTCAAGCACGCTTAACTTTGGAGTTTGTAGGTGATGAGCTCCTGAAAAGAAGATGCACCTTGTTAGTATGAGTAGTACTATCGATCCTTTTGAGCTCTTCTCATTCCCATCTTGATACGGGGTATTACATTCACCCCCACTTAGGAATGCAACGTCCTCGTTGCATCCTTTTTTTAAACCCATAGATCTTCCCCGCTAGGGGAACTAAGCTCTTTTGGCCCGTCACGGTCGCAGGGTTGCTCCGATACCATTTGTAGAATCGTTTTTCTGAAACTTCCCAGTGGGTCACCCATCCTAGGACTACTCTCGTTCCAGCACACTTAACTACAAAGTTTTGAAGTTAAAGAGGTGCCAAATGCTTCCTAAAACCAATTGATACCATTTGCAACACCCCGGCCCCCACCCTGGCCGTAAGTGTTCGCTCATAGGATTGTAGACTGGCCCCACAAACCAACACAAGTCTTTCTCGCGCACTTTGTCCTCACTCGTGCGCGCCCAAGGAATTTCCCAGGGGGTCACCCATCCTAAAATTGTTCGAGATCAAGCATGCTTAACTTTGGAGTTTCTAGGTAATGAGCTCCCGAAAAGAAGATGCACCTTGTTGGTATGAGTAGTACTATCAATCCTTTTGAGCTCTTCCCATTCCCATCTTGATACGGGGTATTACATCTGCAACACAAAGATCAAACAAGTTCAAGAAATTCAAATCATTCAATTCATTATAGATGAAAAAACTCATGGCTGCAGATACAAGCTATCATCAACTTCACTTGCCTTCTAATTTACAATAGAAAAAGCTACTGAACTATAATAATGAATTGGTCTCATCTATCATTTAGAGGTTCGAGATTGATTTTCAGAGATGGACGATCCAAATTTCAGCATCAATAGATATATAGGAGTGAAGTCTTTATCCCTCCTAACACGCACCTTGGCGGCATAATCATTCAAAGCCGCATTTATCCCTCACCATATTTGATCCTCCTCTTGTGAATCCGTCAAAAGCGAGTACAACATTGGGGACAGGTTGTTCCTCTGCATGGGAGACTATAGCTCGTCGCCCCTTGCTGCCTCTTGTGATGTCATTGAATTACTGCTGCCTATGCTGCTACTTAGTAGTTTACAACAAGAAAGTAAAAGGAAAAATGCACAGTGACACATATCTCTTTGTATGTGTTTGAGTGCCTTCATGCTCTGCAAAATCAAGAACCTGGTTTATATGAAAAAATTTGTACCTTTTCATATAATTTTACTACTTATTTGGAAATTACAATGTTATACTTTCTTGTCCCCAAGGGAAGTGGCGATTCCTTTATTCCAAATGTCCATAGACTGTCAAATAACACCACACTAGTTTGATGCCACAAGTAATCGCATAATGACAATCATGTTAACGTATAGGCACACATGTGAATGCATAATGTTAAATAAAGAGATAATGCTAAACATAACAATGTATAATTCCACACATGGCAATGTATAATGACAAATATACCAATGTATAATGTTTCATATATAACACACTGACTAGGGCGATCCGAATACACAATCTAGTAGATCGGGTTGTCACTATATTGGCGTACAAACACAATAACTTTCAAAACATGTAATTCAAAAAAGCCTCTCTACTTTTAACGGGGTAAGGTCTGCATACACACACCCTCCCTAGACCTTGTTTTTGTGGGATTCTACTGGGTTGTTCTTGTAATTCAAAACATTATTTAAAAATCATTGGAGTGAACAAAACAGTGCGAAAACTTTCAGTACTTAATTCAGACACAACTTTTGGGTTGTTTGCTAAAAACATATTAATATTAAATTAAATAAACTCCTTCAGCCAGCATCCATCCATCTCATCGTCCTCGATGTCGTCCAAAATTATTTCCTTATTTTTCATTCATGTTACCTACGTGTAGCAAGAGAACAAACATCACACGATCAGCATTGCTGCTAAGTGAGAAATATCTAATGTTCAACTATGCATATAAATGAACTCACTAGCTCATAAATTCATACAATATTTGCACACAAGTAAAACATTAACAATATCACATAACAATCATCAAGTGAGCTCATAATTCTCAAACTGTTATCCTAGTTCATCCTTATTAGTTGCTCATAACTTATGTTTTGGCTAAGGCCAACACATCCTTATTCACAACCTTATCTTAGGACTTAAAGTCACTACATGCGGCCATGATTCACGCCTACTTTAGTTAACACATTACAATACAACATGACCTTGTCAATGAAAACGTTCTCCGTTGGGTGGGTGGTATCCTGTCCCCTTCAGAACAAAAATTTGTGGATCTCGTACGTACGTTTTAACTCGCAGCTATCAGATATCAAATTCGCAAAGCTGATTCTACCTATTGACATTTACACTCACAATCACACTAGAGCGGTCTTAGAGTTCCTCTAAGCAGCCTAACCATTTATATATAACAAGTGTTCATTTTTAGATTTATTCTAACAACAATTTTAGTTTACTATATTAGTTCAAGGCATATCCAAATTACATTCAAAATATAATAAGAGAGATAACAAAGATCACATAATCATCATATAATACAAATAGCAGCCTAGTGCTGGGTGTAAACACCTTCCACTTATTGTCATGCAAAAAATAAGGTCTCGGAGTCAATCCGTGACTTGAATCGGAAAAAACAAGAAAAGAAATGGTTGAGAGGGTTTTGACACGGTACCTGTTATGGTACCCCAGTACCGCCAGGCTGTACCTTGGTACCGTCGGCCAGTACCAACCTACCGTTCGGGCGCAGGTAACAGCAAAGTTGAATAGCTTGTGGCGGTAGCATGATGCCGACTTGGTGGTACTGCGTACCGCCTAACGCGATAAGCTCCTATTCCAGCACCAACTCGATTTTGAAGCAACAAATGACACAAAAACTCTCTCCATTCTGTTGACCCTTGTGTGTTAATAAATGACAAACACCTTATTCTTTATAGAGAAAGTCAATGGGACTACAATGCTCTATCTATGTTCAAGAAGACATTTGTGTCAAGAAGTTGATCAAGGCCTCAAGACTTGAAGACATAAGTTTTGTATTTGCCTTTTAGGATTCTTAGATTTATTTGTAGGAGTATGGCAATTTCTACTTCTCTTACTCAAAATATTTTTCTAAACATTTTTAGTAACAAGTAAATTATTTTTTATACATAAAATAATATTTTCTGTAATTAGTAAATATTTTTATATATATAAAATAATATTTGTTACACATCTCATATATATTTATTCAAATCAATTTTTGTTTATTCTTCTGAATATAAAAAAATTATTTTTATATACGTATAACTTTAGTGTTTTTATACACAAATATATTTTTTATTATTTATTTTGAAATATTTTTCAAATATAATCATTGTAAGTTAAATCATTTCCCTCATTCTTATCCAAAACACTTTTTGTAACTTCCCTACGATAACATTCAAATGTTTGATAAAAACATTCCAATGTTGTTAGTTTTTCAACGCTATCCATTTTAAGGAATAACCACAATACATTCGAATGTACCAATTAAAACATTCGAGTGTGATGTAGTATTCATTATAAAGCAACCGCTGAAAACTGTCAAACATTCCAATGTTATATTCTCAACATTAAAATGTTTCACAAGAATTTGAAAAATGGATAAGATTTTTCTCAACCAACTCTAGCCTATAAATACCCCTCATTCTAAACATTTTTTGTTGGTTAGGGGAATTAGTACACGAAGATATTCATTCAAAACCTCAAGAAAACCTTTATACTTAATTGCTTGATTTCGATCAAGAGTTCATGGTCGTTCATTAAGAAAATACATCGTTTTGGTCCAAGAAAAATACTACAAATCCATTGCTTGAGTTTTTTTAAAGAAAGAATTTCACATACTCCATAAGGCTCTGTAATGGGACAACAATCTACGCATCAAGGAGTTCTTCATCATTGTGTCAGTATATCGTTCGTGTAGGGATATAGGAAATTCTTAGCGTTGGGACTATGCTAAGTGGTTGGGTAAAATGCAACGTTGTTTTTATGATCAAACATTAGGTAAAAATATTGGTATTAAGACTATACCAAGTGGTTTGTGAAATCTTGACGTTGGGACTACGTTAAGTGGTTGTTAAGAGGCTTGTGTAGATCAATTTCTCGAGTTGTAAGATCTACCAAACACCATTAAGTTTGGTTGGGTAGTGGAATCTCGGGCACAATTGTGTCGTGGGGACTGGATGTAGGCATTAGGCCGAACTAGTATATATTGTGTGTTCTTGCATCTTTTACATTTCACCATTATCTATCGCGTTTATGTTTTTTATTTATTACACTTGCGCGAAACGATTGTCGAAATTG